GGGGCTGTACCCCATCAGGCTGCAGGTGAAGAATCAAACTTAGGGATGTTCCTGCACACAGCGAAAAACCAACCAACAGCAGAGCAGATATTGGGCTGTGCCAGAATTTTTCTCCTTGATGTGCTAGATTTTCCTTGCAAGGTGTTACATGGTCTGTTTGTTTTTTGCAGGAACCTTTATTGACGCAGGACAGACCAAGACGTTTATCCCAGATGATAGGTTGCAGTTAGTCATGCCAGTGCAGGGGAAGAACTTTGCCCATGCTCAGAAGCACCCTGGCCCTCATTGTTACTATGCATTGCATGCTGTGGAGCTGACCTCACTATGGAAACACGTTCCCTGAGGCGGTTGCTGGTGATTTGAGAGCAGGGCTGGAACCCATTCCCCCCCCCCAGACTAAAAGTCCAGAGGGACCCACTGCTGACCTTGCTGGAGGTCAAAGAGCTGGACTGGAGGGGGGAGTCCTGTCCACCCCCCCTTGTGCTTTGCCTGCACTTGACTGTCTTGGCATGGCAGATTAAATGCGCCTTTGAACTCTTTGATCTTCCTCCATTCCCCCCCCCAATATAAGATCTAAAAGGGTCTCCTGTGTTTCTTTTGCCTGCAGCCAAGGCTCACACGACACCCTCCACACCGATTCCCTTTGAATCTTCAAAGCCTCTGCATGCTTTAACTGATTACACATTTAGCATCTCTAATCTCCTCTTGGCCCCCACTCGGGAGGCAGCCTTGGGACATGTCCCTCTTCTTTCAAGCTTGTCTTGTCACGCTTGCTCTGATGTTCCTCCAGCTCCACATTTCAGAGATTTGGGGGTGGGGTGGGGGTGGAAAGGAGGGGCAACTGGAGGTCTCTGGTGAACTGCCAGGGAAGATAAGAGCCCCTCGTCTTGGGCCCTTGGTCACCCTGCACTCTTGGGCCCAAGCAGCCCTCGAATTGTAGGAGGAGAGGTAGGGTGGCCCAGGGGCACCATCAGGAGAATGATGAAGGGGGGTGTGTGTCTCCAAATGCAGTAAGGCTCACCTGTCATATTTTTAAACAAGCGAAGGAATACGGAATATTCATTGCCATCTCACTTAGTTCCCCCTCCACCTCACGTCCAGAGTCTAAAATTACTGTACCTAACTGCAACTCTGGGTACGGGTGGGGGTGTATGAAATCCACAAGTTTCATTCTCTGACTTGCCTGAATTTTATTTGTATTGTGTTGACCTGTACATTTCTAAAAAACAGTACCTAAATGGTATGTGTCATAAAAGGTAAGGGGGCTGGAAGCCGGCCCTTATCTCCCTCCCGCCAGTAATTTGACCACTGGGTTGCTCAGGTTATTAAAGGTAAAGGTAAAGGTACCCCTGCCCATACGGGCCAGTCTTGACAGACTCTAGGGTTGTGCGCCCATCTCACTCTATAGGCCGGGGGCCAGCGCTGTCCGCAGACACTTCCGGGTCACGTGGCCAGCGTGACAAGCTGCATCTGGCGAGCCAGCGCAGCACACGGAACGCCGTTTACCTTCCCGCTAGTAAGCGGTCCCTATTTATCTACTTGCACCCGGGGGTGCTTTCGAACTGCTAGGTTGGCAGGCGCTGGGACCGAGCGACAGGAGCGCACCCCGCCGCGGGGATTCGAACCGCCAACCTTTCGATCGGCAAGTCCTAGGCGCTGAGGCTTTAACCCACAGCGCCACCCGCGTCCCGCTCAGGTTATTAGAACATCTCTAAACATTAGGCGCAAGAAACTGTGTTTTCCCACCCTGCTAACAACCGTGTTTCCCAGTGGAATTCACAGAAGAAGAAGAAGAGTTTGGATTTGATATCCCGCCTTTCACTCCCTTTTTAAGGAGTCTCAAAGCGGCTAGCATTCTCCTTTCCCTTCCTCCCCCACAACAAACACTCTGTGAGGTGAGTGGGGCTGAGAGACTTCAAAGAAGTATGACTGGCCCAAGGTCACCCAGCAGCTGCATGTGGAGGAGCGGGGAATCGAACCCGGTTCCCCAGATTACAAGACTACCGCTCTTAACCACTACACCACACTGGCTCTCCACACAGCCACCAGATATCAGAATCATAGAGTTGGAAGGGACCATGAGGGTCATATAGTCCAACCCCTGCAATGCAGGAACCTTTTGCCCAACATGGGGCTCAAACTCACAATCTTGAGATTAAGAGTCTTACACTCCACCAACTGAGATTTGTTGGTCTCTGATAGTATGAAAACTATCATCTGGTGACTCAGTAGGTTTTTTCAGGAAGCTGCTGCTCCCCATTAATCTTGAATCGGCAGACAAGATTGACAATGTGCATTTAGAGCACATCTAATGCACATTTGAGGCACACAGCTGCCCCCCCCAAAAGAATTCTGGGAACTGTAGCGTATTAAGGGTGCTGAAAATCGTAGCTCTGTGAGGAAGGAAACTACAATTCTCAGGATGAAGGGGGGGGAGTAATATGTTTTAAATATGCACTGAATGTGTTCTAAATGTGGGTCAGGTCTTTTCCTTCAGAGGGGGCAGGAATAGCACCAGAATGCTTGACTTTTTTCAAAGCTGGTGAAACTGGCAAGGTTTCCTTCCCAGCCTTATCAGTTCTGCAGGGGCATGGGAGCAGCGGAAAGGGAGGATAGATTGCCTGAAGAAGCCGGATTCTTTATATCAGTCAACCAAGAGACACTTCCCAATGAGGGAGGACAGGTTAAAAGACAAGAAAAGCCATTCCCCCAATGTGTGGAGGGCAGGGAGGAAGTGGTGGGCGGGAGACTGAAATGCACTTCTGATCAACTGCATCCTTTGAGAGGTGTCATGAAACCAACAAGGAGGTTGAAATGGGTGTGGAAATACACCAGCAATCCCAAAATCCAATACAGGTGTATTTAAAATAGAATTTCAACATTCACTTACAAATAGTATGCAAAAGAGGCTCAAAAGGGCTTTAAAGGCTGCAATATTAAGGCTCTATTTATTGTGGGTGTATGTAGCAACGGGACGTGGGTGGCGCTGTGGGTTAAACCACAGAGTCTAGGACTTGCCGATCAGAAGGTCGGCGGTTCGAATCCCCGCGACGGGGTGAGCTCCCATTGCTCGGTCCCTGCTCCTGCCAACCTAGCAGTTCGAAAGCACGTCAAAGTGCAAGTAGATAAATAGGTACCGCTCCGGCGGGAAGATAAACGGCGTTTCCGTGCGCTGCTCTGGTTCGCCAGAAGCGGCTTAGTCATGCTGGCCACATGACCCGGAAGCTGTACGCCGGTTCCCTCGGCCAATAAAGCGAGATGAGCGCCACAACCCTAGAATTGGTCACGACTGGACCTAATGGTCAGGGGTCATTAGTGTATTAGTAATGTGTTGGAAGTGGATTTATACTGGACCATCCACACATCATCCCTCTTTCTCAGTTGTCCTGTGATGCTTCCCTAATGCACCCGCGGTCGTGCTTCCAGATTTTAACTCTACCCATTGCATGCTTGGCATTTTGCCCATTGCCAATCTCCACTCCCCCTTCTGCCCGGACAGCGCAAATAAGTTGCACTGTGCCACCATACTTCCTTTCATCTGCTTTTACAGACTGCATGTTTCAGCTGTGAATTCCTGTGCAAAACCGTGTTAGTTTGCAGGGGGAGGAAACCGCAGAAGTGTCACCGTATGTGGCATCAATAGGAAGTACGTGGAAGTACAAGCTCCTGTGGCTCTGACCCCTCCTTGCTGCCATACTTTGTTTTAAAGTTTTTATCTTCAGGCTGTGATTGCTACGCTAACCATTAGCTCGTTTCCATTAAAAAATAGTAAAAAAAACCTCCACAGGAATGGTGATAAAGAAGCAAATTTAATTTAGCGCCTTGAAGGACCCAAAAAATAAAAATAAAAAATTGGAGCGTTTATGGTATAACGAATTACGGGATTTCAGCAGGAAGTTTTAAATGCACGGGGTGTATGCAGTTAGTGTTTTTGATTATTGAACCTGCCTTGGGAACTTAGGGTGAAGGGCAGGTAACAAGCAAACAAACAAACAAACATCTCTGAGTGGGCACAGAGCACCTTTTCCTCACAATTCATCTGTCAAATCAGGCCTTTGCCAATTACGAGTCACGCCTTCTAACTTTAGAACCTGGGCTTGGATCCTCTGAGGTCCAGAAATCTCTCCCTCTCCCTCTCTCTTTTGCTGTTAGAAGTGAAACGCTAAAAGTCAGGACCTGTGAGGTCTAAAGGATCTGGGGCAAGGCAATGGCTAACAGCAGAATTCTTAGGAAATTATCCCCGCTGATTTCAAGGAGCCTTTCTTCTGCTTCAGTATGCATGGATTGTGAGAGTGTGAGTTTTCATCAAGGCATGCCATGATTCAAACCTGTCAAGCAGAGTACGTTTTTACAACTCCTGAATTATGTCGCACTGGTTACCATGCCAGTTCTGCAGACTGAAGCAATTGAATGGGCCCATCTGGGACAAGGAGATCCTGCAAGTAAACTAGTCCCAAGCCATGAAGGTCTTTATGTACTAATAGTAACACTTTGAATTTGGCACAGTAACCAACCAGCCACCAGTGCCCATCTCTGAACAGAGGGGTTGTCTACTGAGAAGGTCTCATCCCGTCAGTAACTGTGTTGCAGCATTCTGCACTAACTTCAGTGTCTGGGCCAAGTGCAAGGGAAGCCCCACACAGAGTGCATTGCAGTAATCCAGTTCTGAAAATTCCAGGGCCTGAACTATTGTGGTTAAGCTGGTATAGGGTGGGTGGAGACCCAGGTTTACATCCCCTCTTAGCCCTAAATCCTAGTAGATGATCTGGATCCAGCCACCATTTCTCAGCATTCCCTACTTCACAGGGTTGTTGGAAGGATAAAGTGTATGCATTTGCAACTGAGCGACTCGGGAGAAGAGTGGGATTTTAAGAAATGCAATATGTAGATATATATATTGATATTGTCACCTCTTTGGGATGCCAGAGAGAAAGCGAGAGTGTGCAACGAGAAGATTCGTCTCGCTGACCAGCCCTCCCTTCTTCTCTCCTTGCCTGCAGAGCTGTCTGAATGTTTTATGGTGAATGGGGCCGATTACCGGGGGACACAGAACAGAACCTCTCCCGGGAGCACGGGGCGGCCCTGCCTCTACTGGAACCAGACGCGAGAGCATGCCTACAACACCGCCAAGTACCCCAACGGCGAATGGGGCCTGGGCAGCCACAACTATTGTCGCAACCCGGACGGGGACGTACAGCCCTGGTGCTACATCTCGGAGAACGAGGAAGGCATCTACTGGAAGTATTGTGACATCCCGACCTGCCACAGTGAGTATAGGAGGCCTGGGTAGACTGTGTGTGTGTGTGTGTGTGTGCGTGTGTGTGTGTGAGAGAGAGAGACAGAGAGAGACGGACTGGCTGAGTGCAGAAGAGTGGTGGGAGGCACCAGTTGGGGAACCCCCAAAGGAACCCCTAGGAAAAGAAGGCTCAGAGCCAAGGGATTGGTGGTGGGATGGCGATGAGGGAGAAGAGGGAGCAGGCTGGGAGGTGGTGGTGTCGGAAGCTGAAGAGGCAACAGGATTTAGTGAGCAGGAAGAGACTCTGGAAGAAGGCAGTCCGGAATAAGAGGCAGAAGCAGAGGCTGGAGAGAAAGGGGCCAAGAGGCAGAGATGAGTCAGACTGGTGAAGAAGCCGGGGGTCTCCCTCTCCTGCTGTGGCAAGCTCCTCTCCCCTGGTCACCCAGAACCAGAAGAGGTATGAAGAGAGCAGAGCAAAGACAGGCACACAACTAAGTCTCAGATTGCAGAGATGAGTCAGGCTGGTGAAGAAGCCGGGGGTCTCCCTCTCCTGCTGTGGCAAGCTCCGCTCCCCCTGGTCACCCAGAACCAGAAGAGGTATGAAAAGAGCAGAGCAAAGACAGGCACACAACTAAGTCTCAGATTGCAGAGATGAGTCAGGCTGGTGAAGAAGCCGGGGGTCTCCCTCTCCTGCTGTGGCAAGCTCCGCTCCCCCTGGTCACCCAGAACCAGAAGAGGTATGAAAAGAGCAGAGCAAAGACAGGCACACAACTAAGTCTCAGATTGCAGAGATGAGACAGGCTGGTGAAGAAGCCAGGGGGTCTCCCCCTCCTGCTGAAACCAGCTCCCCACCCCCCAGTCTCCCAAAACACACAGAAGAGAGTGGAGAGACAAGACGAAGGAGTCTAATGGAATGGCTGACCCAGGCTTGTCTTGTTAGAATAAAGTTATAAACCCCAGTTAGCTTAGCCCTCTGAGGCTTGGGGCGAGTGTATCCTCCTGCCCCCCACCTTGCACGAGCCTGGGTTGACTCTCCAGGTGACAGCCGAGGGACAGGAGGCCTGAGGGAACTGGTCTGTCACAACACTTGCAAAAGCCTTAAGGCAGACAGACAGCTTTGTTTCCAATCAGTGCATGCCCCATAACTTCATGGTGAAATTCTGTAACTTTTTATACAAGTGTTCCAGGGGGGTGGTGTTGGGGTTTTCGCTCTCTTGCCCTTCCAGACAACAAAAACACAATCACTTTGTCCTCCTCTCCAGTGCCAGGTTACGTCGGCTGCTTCTTAGATTCTGGGACCCCACCAGCCCTGAGTGGGAGCAGCGGCACCTCCACCAAGCTTACAGTGCAAGTCTGCCTCAGCTTCTGCCGCAAGCGGGGCTATAAGGTAAAGCTCTTTGGTCAACCCTGGGCATCTCACCTCACCTGGCCTGCCTAATAGCATCTTCAGGCTTATGGCCTGGTCTGATGTCGCAACTCTGCTGGAGTTAAGCGGATCTCGGCCTAGTCAATGAGTGTCTGGGAGACTAGGAGTGAATCCGGTGTACACCAACTTGGAGTTCCATGGTAGAAAGCCTGGGATATAAATTATGGGGTGTACTGAAGTAAGTTGTATTCACATTGGCCCCCTTAAAACTAACAAACCTAAATTAATCAGGCCTATTCATTTCAGTGGGTATATCCTGAGTAGAACCAGTGCTTTTTTTCTGGGAGAGACACAGGGGTACGCATGCCCCTAAACATTTTGTGAATCTTTGTACTTTTGTCCATTTACTGTATTTATTTTCCCCGATTTGAACTACAAAATGGTGATTTTCTTGAGTCAAAATGAGAGTACCCCTAAACAATATTTGAGGGAAAAAGCACTGAGTAGGGCAAATACTGGGCACAACCCCAAATAAGCATCAACCCTACAGAAAAAGGCTTAGGGTTGTGTTCAACTAAGTCTTATTCATAACAGACCCGTAGAAACCAAAAATGAGTGCAAAGGCACTTGGGATGACTGGCCAGTACTTGAACACTTGAGGTGTTGTTGTCACTATTGCATTTGTTCTTTTAGTTACCCATTCTCAAAAATTCAGATATAGGCCTGCAAGCATCAACTGGCCATTGCCTGTGATGTGGATGGTGGTGAAGCTGCCACATGTTCAAGTCATTGTGTGACTTTTCTTTATAAAATTTAATTTCAGCTGTGATGCATTTTTAAGCTCTACACGAGGTTGAACGTGCTTTCCTGCTCTGCAACTCCGGCCCTAGAACGTTAGCCGGTCTTTTTAACAAAATGTTGATGAAGTTGCTGCTTTAAAATTCGCCCCAAAGCTTAAAAGAAATATCAGCCCCAATCTGTTGCTTCATTCCCTTTGGTTATCAGATGACTCTGTGTTTTTCTAGAAGGGAGATTTACAGAGACACCCCTGCCACTTATAAGAACATAAGAAGAGCCCGCTGGATCAGGCCAATCAGCCATTTAGTCCAGCACCCTGTTCTCATAGTGGCCACCAGATCCCTCTAGGATCTTGTGATTTCTAGCAACTGGTATTCAGAAGCATTACTGCCTCTGATTGTGGAGGCAGAGCATCATGGCCAGTAGCCACTGATAGTGTTGCTCTCCATGGATTTGTCCAATCCTTTTTCAAAGCCACCCATTGCATGGTGTGTACACTTGGTTTGGCCTCTGGCAAGCAGGTTTGGTAGTCTTTGTGTTATTCCGCAAACCTGCAGCACCTATTTGGGACAAAATAAATCTCTGCATGTGCCAGAAGATACGACGTTTCTCTGAAACCACTTTTACCTTCCTTAAAGCCACCTCAGCTAGGGGAAAAAAGGCCACGTTAAGCTGATGGAATATGTGCACCTTGCAGACCTAACATATAGAATAAGAGAACAAGAAGAACATACGTTTAGAGAAGATTGGGAAATGTTTATTGAATATATGGGGGAAATTGTGTACACCTGAAAACGTTGGCAGCATTAAGATAAATTCAACAGTGTAAATAGGTTTTGATGGATGTAATAATGGTTTCGTTTATGTAAAATATGCAGTGATTTATGATATGCAAAATGAACCATGGAAAGAGAATAAGGGAATCATTGATATTTTAAGGATGTTTAAATGAGTATTCTAAATTGTAAAACAGAAAAATTATATAAAAGAGAAAAACAAAGTCCACTTCAGCTTCACTTTCTCTGTACTGGGGCCGTTTATTGGTGTCATTGAGGTTGCAACTCTGATTGTATTTTTCTGGCTGTACGTCTCACTGAACCTAGTTGGGATTGCTTTTAAGTGCACATGTATGGGATTGTGCTGTTAGCCATGCAACGAACAAACAGCATCGGCAGGTTATGGGATGTGATCTACACCCTGCTTCCCCTCCCATGTACATGCTTTTTTAATCACCTTTCTCTTTCTCCTCTGCAGTTTGCTGGCGTAGAGGCTGGTTATGCCTGTTTCTGTGGCCACGAAGGGGATGTCCGACGTAGCCAGCCAGTGAGTGCCGTGGAATGCGACCAAGTCTGCTTTGGCAAGTCCAGCGAGTTGTGTGGAGGAGATGGCCGGATTGGCATATACAATGGTAAGCGTGAGGACGCAGGAGGCTTATCACAGATCAAAGGTTTTTTAATCCAAAAGATGTACGCGCATCTGTTGTGCATGCCTGATGACAAAGGTTTTTATGCACAGAGGCAGAGAGAAGTGTTTTTCTCTGTTTCCCATTGAGGGAGAATTTAGAGGACACCCAGGGAAATCCATGGGAAGCAGGGCAGCCCAAAATTAAGGCTGCAGTCCTCCATACACTTACAGGCAATGACCAATCGATGCGCGCCCAATTGATGCATGACCGTGCATACGTGCAGTGTGCCAAACCCAGAAGTGACTTTTAAAATGGCCCTAAGAGAGCCCAGAAAGGGCGAAAAGCAGGGCCTAGCAATCCCACAAGCCTTTGCAAGTGCAATCCGAGGAGCCCTTGCACCGGCTGTTAAGACCTGTGCGGAAGTGGAGTTTGAACAAGGGGATTTGGAGGGAGCGATTGTGCTGGAGTTTGGCATCTGGTAAGTTGCCACTGGTTTTTTAAAGGGCTTTTCAAGGATTTCCCATGCATCTTGCCCCAACAGAGGGTGCTAAAATTTCATGACTGTGAAAGAGAGCATCCTGATTGGAAATAGACAGGACACTTCATGGAAGGACTTTTTGAGTATTTCAGTTTAGAAAAGGGAATCTTTCCCGGGCCTTCTCCAAAGCAGATCTCGTTTTGCTCCCATCCTTCCAGTCTCACGTTCTCTCGACATCTGGATTGAATTTATTTATTTATTTCTAACCAATGTTGGTTTTTGAGAAATTTTTCATTTTCCTGTTTTCCAGACACAGTTGAGTTGTTTTCTTTCCCCAGTTTTGACTCTCAGGGATGTCAAAGTGCAGTGTATACGCTTAACAGTTGAGTTTTGTTTTTTGTTTTGTTCTTAAATGTTTTTTGACAACAAATATAATGCTTTTTGGGTACCACCCACATTATCCCAGTATTTTTTACAACAGCCCTCTACTGTACGATGCCTGAATGATATTATTACAGCATGTAAATCATTTATTATTGTTGTTGTTGTTGTTGTTATTGTTATTGTTGTTATTATTATTATTATTTTATCTACCACTTAATTACAATTATCTCTTAAGTGGTGTACAGCAAGCTGAGCAAATACAACAGAGATAAAAAGCTAACTCTAAGATCAAAAATGACTTTTAATGACTGCTGAAATAGAAATCCTTCAGTAGGCGCCAGACGTTCAACAGGGAGGGGGCATGTCTGATCTCATTTGGAAGTGAGTTCCACAAAATGATGCCCACAACCCTGAATGCATGGCTCCTTGCGGACACAAGCCATGCATCTGAGCTGTGGGGAACCGTGGTGATTCCCCTGTAGACCTCAGGGATCAGGCACAAGTATAAAGAACCAAGCGGTCCTTAAGGTATATCGAATACAGGGGGGTTCTCAATTACGCATGGGGTTCCATTCCTGACTGCTGTACATGTCACTGGGACGCATGTGAGTGGTGATTAGCCTGCCCCACTCTGCCCCCATTCTGCCCCTTTTCAGTGCCGAAAATAGCACACGTGTTAGCAGGAGCGTGTGTGCTGATCACGTATGAGTGTGGAGACGCCTGTACTGTTATTGTAGACTGTTATAGTATACTGTAATTGTTTGGTACACTTGGGTCATCCCATTTGCCATCTAAAAAAAATGATAATAGTTTGTTTTTGTGTTTATTTATTACATTTTAAAAATCTCTTACTTTATCTTCACAACAACCTTGCAAAGCTGAGAGATCAGGAATAGTCTAAGGTGACCCAGGTCACTCAATAAGTTTTGTGAATGAGTGAGGATTATAGTCTTACCACTACACTGTTTATCTCTCTTATCGGTTGTTGTTTTTTTTAAAGGGTGAGTTTGTGTCTCTTGCCATGATTGCAAACAATGGAGGTACACTTCTTTTTTAATTAAAAAGTATACTTCATTACTATACCCAGAAAGGTCCTCCCCCCCTTTAGAGTACCTCCAATTAAAACTTAACAATTAAGGAGTCGTACCTCCTGTGTCTCTGAGTGATTCACTGTTCTGGGCATGACCATTTTCTTCAGTGGCAGGTCATTGCACAGTATCTCTACATTAGAGGCGAATGATTGCCAGGCCACAGCCAAAGCTAGTTGGAAGGAGGTAAGATCAGAGCAGCAAATTACGCAGAGCAGCAACAGGCAGCCTCCTCTGCGGGTGGGTCAGTCTGCTGCATCGGGGCGTGGCTGAACCATCCAATCTCACGCAGCATCAATGTGCAGCAACATTAGCGCCTCCTAGTGGTGGCTGATTGGAAGGAGGCAAGGCCAGATCAGTAAATTACAGAGATGCAGCAGGCAAGATCCCCTGGATGTGGAGTGGGTGTTTGGGGCCCACAAATGAACCTAACTGCTTTCTCACAGTGGCCTGCCTTGCACAACCCAGTGTGCTCTGGCATGCAGTTCATTCATTACTATATGATGTATTATCACCCCAGTTATAAGGTTTGCATCAAGTGTCTCCTGCTGTGGCTTCCACAGGTCAGGATCCAGAGAGCGTGTACCACCAGCCCTCTGTTCCTACTACGAACCTGGTATGCCAGGGAAGGGGCAGAAACCAGTGGAAGAGCATCTGCTTTGAACACAGACGATTCTTGATTCAAGCCTTGGCAACGCCACATAGTGCTGGGAATGTCCTGTGTCAGAAACACTGGAGAGCTTCCCCAGGCAGGGAAGACAATGCTTAGTTAGATGGACCACTGGTCTCATGAAGTGCAGGTGAATTCTGGGCATCAAGGGCGCCATCCAGGCTGAGGTACCAGCATGCAATCTTGCCCTAATCACATGAGTGTCTAGGGCCAATCACAACCAACCAGGCCATATAAAGCCTTACTTCAGAGCTTGCTGCTCAGTCTGAGCAATTCATCTCCAGCGTGAGGAGGTTGCCTAAGCGCTGCCCACCCGTCTCTTATGGCTGCCTTGGATCTTGACCTGCCTGGTTCCGACTGAGCCCTTGCTTCAGTCAGATCCTCTTCTTGACCCCTGCCTGTCTGTGGTCATGTGCACCTTCCTCTAGTCTCTCTGATTCTAGTTCTGGATCTTGATGTCCACTTGGCTTGGGATCGTGTACTTGGGCTGTGTGGGCAGACAGGCAGCCCCCTGGCAAAGTCCAGCATGTCTGAAGCTTGATCCTGCTAAAAAACGTAAGAAGAGCTCGTCTGGATCAGACCAAAGGTCTGCCTAGCCCAACTTCCAGTTTCCCAGAGTGACGCACCAGAGGCCAGTGAGCACAACAGCACTCTCTCCACTCCTGAACAACTGGCATTCAGAGGCAAACTGCTCCGAGATTGAATGTAATACACAGCTATCATAGGTAGCAGCCACTGGTAGTCTTATCTGCCATCAATTTTCTAATCTCCCTTTTAAGCTGTCCAATATGGCGGTCATTGCTACTTTTGGCAGTAGCGAGTTCCGCAGCTTAACCAAATGCTGCGTGGGAACTACTTCCTTTTGTCTGTCTTGAATCTTCTGCCATTCAGCTTCCTTGGATGGCCTCAGGCTCTAGTATTACGCGATGCGGCGAGAAGCTTCACTCTGTTCACTTTCCCCACCCCATGCATAATCTTACACACCTCCATAAAACCCCGTTCTAATTCTGTAAGCAGTCTTACTCATGCAGAAGATGATTGACTCCTTGTCTGGATGGGAAATTTATTATCAGAAGCTGGGTTCTGTTGGTGTAACCACATGGAAAGCTGTTTTGCACAAACGCTCACAATGTGGAAAGCCGTTTTGCGCAAAGGGGCAGGGTTTTTTTGTCATTGAAAATTAAAACAAAAAACTGGGGACCCTAAAAGTTGCATCCCTCTATTGATTACATTTTTATTCTGATCCTTCCCCCCTACCCCCCACCCTGCTTGTCTCTCCACCCCACAGTATCCATGGGTGCCTGCCAGGGAAACTTCAGCGATCTCTCTGGAGTGATTTACTCTCCGCAGTTCCCGGATGACTACGAAGCCGACAGCAACTGCAGCTGGTCCCTGCACCCCCTGGGCTGTGAGTCCGTGGAGGTCACCTTCCGGATCTTTGACGTGCATGACCCCAACGACCGCCTGGAGCTGTGGGATGGACACAGCAATCTCTTGCTGGCTCAGTTTGACGGACGCCGGAGGCCGGGGGCTCCCCTGCTGTTCCCCACCGACCACCTGCTCCTCTCCTTCCATTCGGATCAGCTCCTGCAAGCCCAGGGCTTTGCCATCTTGTACAGAGGTATGTGCCAAGGCCTGACTCTGCGATGCATCTGCCCCGGGGGTAGAATGGGCGGGATAAACCTGTTCCACCTGGGTTAAGTAACGCTGCAGCGATCACCTGCAGAGGAGGTAGATCAGGGGAAAGAAGCCTCTTCCCGAGTGGGTCTGGAGGGCCACAGCAAGGACCAAAAGTAAGAAGTCCTGCTCCCACACCAGAAGACTTTGAGGTGGTGTGGTGTGCGGCTGAGGCAGAGCGAGACTGTCTTTGAACTCCCGGACTCACTCCAGCGCCTGCCAACTCTTCCCTGGGGCTCGGTGTGTCAGAGTCTCTAATTAGAAGCTCTTGCTTCCACACCTGGAAAGGGAGGAGGGTGACCGGCCCTTTGAACTGGGGCCCTGGGAATGGGGAGAATTTCTTTTGACAGTGCTTGGGAAGCCCTGCGTGTGGGTTTCTTGCACTCGCTCACCCTCCTGCTGGTGACAGCACTTTTGAACTAGTCACCCAATGGGTTAACTACTGGCAAGTTTCTCCTGGTGTGTCCCTTTGAACCTCCTGTGCAGCCGCAGGCCTGTAGCCAAAACTGATTGTGAACTAAGGGTGGGTAGGGCACCTGGTTGGGGGATTGGGGCGGGGGGAGGCAGAATGAATACAGAACAGGAAGAGCCTAAATACAAGTGGCCTGATGCATTGCTGTTTAATTGCATAAACTATTAATACAATGGCTTTCTTGGTCGTCCCTGGGCCTCTGTGTCCGTTGGCCAGGAAACAGGAAAGGTACCGTCTTATTGATCGTCAGGCAAAATACCTGCTGGTGGCCTTTGTTTGTTAAATTCGGATGCTGCCAGATCCTGCCAGAGTTGCTCAGGGCAGAAAAGGTCAACGTGTTAGAACAGCAGGATTTAAAATGCAAACAAAAACCTATTTAAACACAATTAAAAACCAGCTAAGAAAGCTTTTTAAAAGCCGAGAATGTCAAAAGCTGAGAACTTTAAAACACTTAGAATTTTAAAAACCATTTAAGAGCAATTGCACACCCTCACAGCTATAAATTTCATAATTTACATCACCACCCCACACTTTGCAGTTCATTTCTGGTTCACCTATCTTTCTGGGAAGCAGGTTTGTTTTGCAAGAGCTCCAAATCGGCATCACTTGTGACAGTCTTGAAGTGCCCTGGGGCTCTTGCTACACAGTTGTGACACAGGAAGCAGAGGGTCATCTAGTCCCACTCCTGCAATGCAGGAAACTCATCTAAGGCATCCATGACAGATGACCATCCAACCTCTGCTAAAAGACCTCCAAGGAAGGAGAGTCCATCACCTCCCAAGGGGAGACCGCTCCACTGCGGAACAGCTCTTACTGTCAGAAAGGTTTAGTCGGAATCTGCTTTCTTGCAATTTGAAGCCATTGATTTGAGATCTTCCATGTGACAGCTCTTAAGATATTTGAAGATGGCTATCATATCTTTTCTCAGTCTCCTCTTTCACAGGCTAAACATACCCAGCTCTCTCAACCGTTCCTCATAAGGCTTGGATTCCAGATGTTGGAAACAGGGTGGGCTAAAAATCCACTGCGAAGTCAAATAAACTGTTTTGATTTCCCTGCAGGAGTGAAAGGTCCCCCTATCAACGGAGCCCGGTCTGATTTACGAACCCTACCGGGTGACGGATCCCGTCTCATCCCAACCTCCTCCGATTGGTTGAACTCCACCTGGACCTACAGCGCCAATGACTCTGCCATTGGGGTAGGAGGTAAAGAACTAGACTTGCGGCAGGGCTTGGCCCTCGATGCTGCAGCTTGTGCTGCAACCCGGTTGGCTGGCTCAAGTCAAAACAGTCTCTGATGAGGACATTCCCTGCAGGAAGTGTGGGCCTAACAACTCATTGCACACATTATGCCTGCCAGATGACCCCCCCTTTTTTTTTTTAGAAAGCGAGAAGTTAACTTTTGCAAAGGAGAGTACAGATCAGAGAAAGGCAACCTATGTGTGCTCAATCCTTTCTCTACCCACCATTTCACAATTCTAAAGCCCTTCCCATAACAGCTCCCCAATTCCACACACAGGATTACAGTTGCACTTTTTCAAGGATAAGCATGTAAGGGGTATCAGAGCGGGGGGCGGGGCAGGCAAATCTCACTGCAGGTGCCATTTGGAGCTGGAAAACGGGGAGGAAAAGGGTAAAGCACTCTCTCCATTCCACGGTCTACATTTCCTTCTCTTAAAGCAGCTTCTAAAAAAACAAACGCCAAGCCATAAACCATTAAGATTCTCTAATAATACACATTCACACATAATTTAATAGGGATGCTTGAAGAATTGGATCTTTGCAAATTCCAATATGAACTGATTTGCTCTTCCTGTACTAATGTGTGAATTGGAATTTTGTCACCCACAAATGTCCAGGCTCTCTGAATGTTCCAATGCTATTCTTGGCTCAAAAAACGTATCAAAATACTTTGAAATGCATGTTTTGATAGAAAAATAGGTTTGGAAATGCATGTTTTGATAGGAATTAATCTGCAATTTTTAAAAAAGGAGATTAACGTGGAAATGGCACAGAATGAATTTATGGGTGACCACAAGCAAAAAGGGAACAGATTTGAAGTAAACTGATTTGCCCATCTCCAAAGTGCAGCTAGTTGACCTTCGGTTCCCACGCTGTGTAAAATTTGCTGTGGTGCAATCCAGCCACCAGGGGTCATAGTCTGTACCTTTGTAACAAAATTCACTTTGTAGTCAGCAGTGAGTTAAATGACATTAGAGATCCTGAACTCTCTCTTATTCTGGGCAAAGCTTTGCACACCTTGCACTTAAATAGAACGAATGAAAGAAAAATCAGAACTCAGCACGCAGTAAAAACTGGATTCTGTGACCTATGTATTATTAAGCACAATTATTTCACATCTGCTGATTTTGCACAACCCTTACAAGCCATGGGGAAGGGAAGAGAGCTGGGCAGGGCAGCCTCATCCCTATTTTGCTTTTGCTAAAAGCCCTGCTTGGCTGTCACCCCACCTGGTTTCTGCAGCATTGCCCATGCGCTTTCACATCTGTATATCTACAGGGACTAGGAGCATAAAACAAAAAAACCCCCAAGTCTCTCAGATTGCTGAGTGCTTGCATGGTGCAATTGAGGAACTGTGGAATGCATACAGCCCATGGGATGAGGCCTTACATTGCTAACATGACTACTACATTTATTGTCTGCCAACATGCATGCAAAGCTCTATGTGTGTGTACACACACACACACACACACACAGAGAGAGAGAGAGAGAGAGAGAGAGAGAGAGAGAGAGATGTATACAGAGAACACCTTACACGGATTTGCACCATGTTTTAAATTTCCCGCCAAAAATAAACAGCACCTTGTCCATGAGGATTTTTTTGAGTTTGTTCCATTTCTGCAGTAAACTGCTGGTTTTCTCAGGGAAAGCAGCATGACCAACCCCCCCCCCCAAAAAAAACCCTCTTGGACCCATGACTTGAAATCATGGGACAAACAAAAATGTGGATGGGCCCTTTAAATCTGGAGCCAACTTCTGCTTTCTCGTGGGTCTTCTCTCTTCTCCAAATACTGTAGACTTATTATTGTTATTGTTACTATTACTATCATTATTTTAATCTGTGAGCCCCTTTTGTGCCCTAAAGTGGCTCACAAGACCATCGTCTAGGTGTATTTTGCTGTATAACGCCCACCTTCCAGTCTTTATTTTGTGCTGAGGGTTATATAGAACATTTGGCACAACCTGGTGGCAATTTTGTATTTTTATTTATTTATTAAATGTGTATACCATCCTATACCCGCAGATCTCAGGACGGTTTCACAACATAGAATCACAATAAAAAAACACACAAAATACATCATAAAAACAAATACAACGTAATAATCCCCGCTTACAAAAACACATTTTAAAAGGGCATCAGATGTCAATCAGCCAAAGGCCTGATGGTGAGGAGGCTGTGCAATGTCAGAGGGACTAGAAGGTGCTTTAAATTGGGGAAGGGGAGCCCAAAGCCCTCCAAGTGGTGCTGGATCCCATCTGCCCCAGCCAGCATGGCCAGTGGTCAGGGATAATGGGACTTGTTGTCCAATGACATTTGGAAGGCCGCCGATTCCCTGTCCCTGTTTAAATCACCACTCTTGACAAACATAAACAAGACGTTGGAGCTCTGTGGTCAAAGCTGCTGTCTTTGAAAAGAACTGCTTTTAAAAAAATAGATGGTAGGTCTGATCACAGATCCCAACCGGCTTCCTACTTTGGCTCAATAAACAGATTGGAAATGGCTGACCTTTTGGCTTTTTGGATCTGCGTGATGCAGGAGGCATTATAAATTTATATGAAATGCACAGGATGTCTCTACCAAGCAGGTATTGGTCAGCTTTTTGCACAGAAACGTAAGCTGACCAGTATAGCATCCACTTATCATATTTGCAATGTCTGAAAGTAATTTCCTTTCCATTGTGAGAGCTAGAAAGAGACTTAATTCTGGTAGGGGACTCAGCATGGTGATTAATCAATCCTGCCCTGTAGCTTTCTAGATCTCGGTGGAAGGTTGTACATAAATAGTGTCTTCTGTTCTTTTGTTAACACAGCTTGGGTGATGTACACAGCTACAGGGACCTTCATCCTAGCCATCCTCATCATCTCGTACCATCTACGCAAGAGGTAGGCTGGGGTTTCAACTGGATGACGGGAGTGAGTCAGAGGTCTTGCATTTCATTCCCATCTTTGGGGGTGTGTGTGTGGGGGGTATTGTAGGGAGAAAAGAGTCCTAGATTCTTCCCCCTTTTGGGGGAATGACAAGGAGTTAAGAGGAAGTGAGTCACTTTGGTCATGTTGGCAGAGGATGCTGGGAACTGTAGTCCAAAAACATATAGGGATTCCCCATACTGGCTACCTTTAATCTAGAGAGTCTTGTACATGTTGCACATTAGATACGTGCTCAGGATGCTGGGCCGTTGCTAGTGGTGGCGTCAACCTTTGACTCAACTGATTGCACTGTTTGTTTGTTTTCTTATCTCCAGGACCTGCCTTTTTGTGCAAAAGAAGACTGGCAGCTCTCTGGGCCCTTTCTCCTCCAAAGGCCCTCGAAGCCGCTGCCAGTGCCTTGGGGGCGAGGCATGGGCCGTGGCCTACCGCCACACCCGTGTCGTGATCTGCACCACGCGTGGCGCCCCGCACCACCGCCCCTTGCGCAACGGGGGCGGGGTTGCCGGGGACGACGAGGCCTCCTCAGACTGCTCATGCCTGTGCCACAGTTACGAGAACCTTTCGTCCACCAACCAGTCCTCTCTCAAATCTCTCATCTCCACCATCTGAGGCCATGCGAACCTTATAACTTCCACCTTCGCCCCTGTCATGACCAGCTCCCTTTCTACTGCCAGATCCCTGGAGCAGAACTTCCTTAGTTTGCTAGGAACCAAGAGACCAACCTTCTAAGCATATGCTCTCCGGGTGGGAGGCAGGGGAGCCGGAATTTAATGGAAGCCAATGCACCATTTGGCACAGATAAGAACGTTCTGGAGAAACTGAAAGTTGTTTTGACAGCAGGAACTTGTGTAGCAACATTGCCTAAACAACCTTCTCTGGGCCAGGAGAGTACTGAGGTGGTGAGAATCCTATTGCCACATCCCTTTGGGGGAGACATCTGTGCCTTCTTTGAAGCTGGGATTTCCCCTGGGGTTTTGTAAACCTTGCCCGTGGGACAAAGAGTTTTGGTGGAAGTCTCCCATCGTGGCAGGATTCATACCTGCATGGAATTTAGGACTGTGTGACAGGAGAGATGCGTTCTCTATAACACATGGAAGTTCAGGCAGCTCTCAGGTTCACGTTTTGTGCGACGCCAAGGCCTGGGAATGGTGAGATCCTGGCTGCATCCTCAAAGAGGTTGGAGCGGGGAAAGCCTTCAGTTCCACAGGCTCATCCGTGGATGCTGAATTGGGGCGGGGGGGGGGCAGGGAATGGTGGTATTCGTGTGCAGATCCCATTACCGGTGTCACTTTGGGGACATTTGGGTGCAAACAGAGGCCACGGGGCACTTGAAAGACTTTTCACTTGGCTACACGGGTGTACAAAGACACACCAAAAAAGAACAGGGGAGATCAAAACCAGCCCCCTTGCCTGTTGTGTCCCAGAGCCGCACGATGGATTTTGGAGCATAAAACCTTCATTAAATTATTTTCATATCGGTAACAATGCTTCTCTGTTCTTCACTGCGCTGATCAGCAATGTTGGGCTGGGGCTGGAAGCAGGGAACTGAAAGTTTACTGTTCCTGGATTGGATATACAGGGCTGGCTGTTGAGGGCACAAGAGCAGGGAATAATTCTAACACACGTACCTAGAGGTTTTGATCAGATTTCCTTCAGGAACAGCAACGATTCCCAAATTTGTGACAAGACACAGAACATGAGATGATCCCTATCTTGTTGTGAAAAAGCAATAATTTATTCAAGGCTCCAAAGGAGGCTGCTGGCTGTGTTTCCGCTTGCAGGCCTCCTGGCGTCAAAAACTGGGATAGCTCAGTCAGAACACGAGACTCTTAATCTCAGTGTTGTGGGTTCCAGCCATCATGGTGGGCAAAAGATTCCTACATTGCAGGGGATTGGATTAGATGACCCCCAGGGTTCCTTCCATCTCTACAATTACAGTTGTACCTTGGAAGTCGAACGGAATCCGTTCCAGAAGTCCATTTGACTTCCAAAATGTTTGGAAACCAAAGCATGGAAGCCGCGGAAGCCCTGTCGGACGTTCAGGTTCCAAAGAATGTTCGCAAACTGGAACCCTTACTTCCAGGTTTGCGGCGTTTGGGAGCCAAAATGTCCGAGTACCAAGGCGTTCGGGATCCAATGTATGACTGTATATGATTCTATTATCCTTGAGCAGCTGCTGAAGATCTTGGACCCTGACAAAGCTTACCACTGACCTGCCCTGGACACAATGTTAATTATCTCCCAAAATTTTGATCAGCCCTGGGGAAGTTTAGGTCAGTTGGGGAACTACCATTTAAATTTTCCATGCCTTGAAGCAAGGATGGGGCACCTCCAACCCGTTGGTCAACCTTGGCCCATCAAGCCATCCCCCCAAACCACACATGCCTATCAACCACCTGCCACCACTCCAATCGGTGGGTGATGCCAGCTCATGGGCAGGGTTCTATTCTGTTTTGACTGTACGTGCAGCCATTGTGGCAGGATTTGACCCTCCAGCTCACCAGCTGTTGATGGGAGGGGGCATTAAATCCTGCTCATCTTGACAGAATTGAATGCAAACCCCTTTACTGAAGCCCCTGATAAAATGATGTTTGTGTTCTCCATTTTAGCAGCAGCGGCTTGCTGACCGCTGCCTCATTGTGATGTTAGGCGATTGCTAGTTAGGTGGTTTTATTTGCAAAGCCAATCCTGGTAAGGATCAGGTCTGTGGAGCCCAAAAGTTTCCACTCCCACCGCCCTGAAGTGAACCCTCCCCCTCCAACCTGCCCCTCCAAATCCCCTCACATATTTCTTTTGCCAGCGATAAACTAAATTCTGGGGCAACAACTTTTATGTTTTGTTTTTAGCTCTTGGGCCCATATGTGAAACAATACAAAGAGGGTGCTCTGAGCATGTGTGAATTTCCCACAGTAATAATTTTCCCACAATAATTTTTAATGACAGCTTGCAGGCCCAGCCACCCTACATGAGGCATGAGTGTAACCCAAGCAACTGCCCAAAGGTACTGGGTGTTGGTGCTGGGCCTGACTAGCCGTCACCAGCCACACAGACTTCCTGATTTCACAAGTAAGGGTTTCCAAGAACACAGATGTAATTTCTAGATTGAGACATCAGAAGAACAGTACCTTATTTTAGAAATGTTCACAACCTAACCTACATTAAAGAAATGTGTTTTCCCTCATGTTTGTTCTGAAGTTTTAATGAACAGGCCCAAATCAGGTACGAGTTCAAAATCTTGACTGCAATCCAACAGTTGTTTTGGATTTACAACATGCCATACCTGGCCAAAAAAAGGAAAACAGCCGTAAATGTAATGAACATCCAATCACAGTGAGGACCCAAACTCATTTAATATGAATTATTCCCATTCATATTAAATAATAATTCCAAATGGAAACAAATGGAAATGCAGCGAGTGGAAGATTCATGTTTAATTTGTATGCAAATTTGAGGGAAGTCAGATTTAGATGTGGGCCAAGGTTGTGAGTTTACATATTTAATTAAATACACATTCAAATGTATTAAGTTGAGTTTTGCATTTCAAAACAAAACAAAAGGAATTACAGCTGCAATCTTATACCAACTGCCTTGGAAGGAACTGTCTCTCAGCCTGGCCTACCTCACAGGGTTGTTGTGAAGATAAAATGGAGAGAAGTGCCTGTTTGGAGGAAAGGTGGGATACAAATGTAAAAATAAAAGAAGTCCCACTGAACTTTTGATTAATCATGCATAGGGTTGTGCTGTAACCCCCTTCCCCTCATACTTTTCCGTACAGTGGTACCTCGGGTTAAGTAATTCGTTCTGGAGGTCCGTACTTAACCTGAAACTGTTCTTAACCTGAAGCACCACTTTAGCTAATGGGGCCTCCCGCTGCCGCCGTGCGATTTCTGTTCTTATCCTGAAGCAAAGTTCTTAACCTGCAGCACTATTTCTGGGCTAGCGGAGTCTGTAACCTGAGGTACCACTGTATTGTATAATGTTAATTGTCTTCCATGTTGGAGAGGGAAACTTTGTTACCCTCCACCTGCCAGTAGCACCTGAGAAAGCGAGACTCCAAACGAAGTTGGATTAATGAGGCAATGCTGAGAGAGTAATTAATGAATTATTGTAATTCATGTCTGTTCCACTAGCTTTCCTTATGCTCTGCCTGGGCAGGATGAGTTTAATGCATTAATCTGGAATGTGCAAGTAGTCTGAGATGAACATGACAATAACGTACCCAAATTATTACTAATCAAGAGGTAAAAGGAAAGCTGTATCCTACGCTGTGCAAATATTGTTACAGCGTTCCCACCCCTCCGCCAGCCTTTCCTCCCAGTTACTTATTGCTTTAATAAAGAGGAGAATCACCCGCGTGAGTTATATTTCTATTAATAAAACTGCTGTGTAGCTTAGTGGCTGCCAGCCCGCAGACTGAACTATGAACCTGGCAGTCTCTCAATCAAACCTCACTCCTGCGAGACGCCCCCCTCGCGGTTATAGGCAAACCGCTCTCTCAGCCTCAGTCCCGCTTCTGCAATATGGGGATAACGCTGGACTTCCATACAAGGTTGTTGCAAGGATGACTGGATCACGTTATGTCTCTGAAAGCCAAAAACTCACAAGGCGCGTAGGAATGCGTAGGAAATCACTGCATTATGAAACACATGCAAATACTTATAATAATATGAGATCTCCTTGCACAAACAACGTTATTGCAATAGCGCTTTGGGGATTACTTAAAATATATATATATCAAAGAGGTGTCCTATTATGTGACGGGCCACCACGCAGTTTAGGGGCGTGACTTTCTAGGATTTAGGAATTAATTTCATAACCGGGTCAAACCTATACACCCTCCTGCCTTTCGGGGGCGTCTTTTGTCTGCTTTGGGGTTTACAATTGGGCCTATCTTCCGCGCGTCCAATCACGGACATCGCTGACAAGCTGCTGGGGGCGTGTCTCAATGGGTTATGCAAATAATCGAATTTCAAGGACTCGGGACGCCCTATTAACACCCACCGCAGGGAGGGCGGGGCGTCCGTTATGCTAATAATGGAACGACAGTTCTTAGTCAAGCTCGGGCGGTTGGTAGGCCCCGGAGAGGAAGGGCGTGGCTTGCATATATTGTCATTTTTATGCAGAGTGCAGAGCCCTGATCCGGGCAGCCATGTGCGAGTCAGAGCGACTGCGGTGCAGAGATTATGCAAATGAGCGGCGGGTTCCTGGGCGGGGCTTGCGCCGAAGCCTTGCAGATAGGGGGACCGGCCCGGCGTGAGAAAAGGCGGCAGGGGAGGAGGAGGGGAGCAGTGGTACCCGCATGTATTATGTTAATGAGGGCGGTGGGCGGGGCCGGATTGTGAGCTCAGCCCGAGGAGGGGAGCGAAGCGAGGGGGAAGCCCAAGGAGGAGCTGCTCGTTGCAGCGGCAGCATCAGCAACGGCAGCAGCAGGAGGAAGGAGGAGGAAGAGGAGGAAGAGGATGCAGAGCCCGGCCAGCAGCTGACCCCGGGGGGGGAGCCCGGCCATGGCCTTCCTGGGGGGGCCCCGGCTCCTGGACTGGGCCAGCTCCCCCCCTCACCTGCAGTTCAACCGCTTCGTGCTGACGGGCTACCGGCCGATCAGCACCGGGTCCGGCTGCCTCCGCAGCCTCTTCTACCTGCACAACGAATTGGGCAACATCTACACCCATGGTGAGTCCCCGCAGCCTTCCCTGCCTTGCTCCCCGCAGCCCGTGTCTAACACCGGCCTCTCCACCACCCCAACCCCGCCGCCGTCGGCCGCGCTTTCTCCCGCCGGGCTCCGATGCCCTCCGATCTCCAGGCTTGCTCTCCTGCAGGGCCCTCCCCGCGATTGCACCGGCTGCCAGCCCTCCAGCCCTAGGCGTGCAGCGGGCATCCAGAGGACCTCTACCTCCGCCCGGCTGCCCAGAGCTCTTGTACCCTTGCTCTGGTCGGTTCCTGGTGCATTTCGGCATCTCTCGGCTGCTGCTGCTGCTTCTTCTGTTTCTCTTGCCCGGTCCCACAGCGTCGGCGTGGACCCTTTTCGCAGGGCCTGGCTCTCCCCCACCCCACCCGACGGAGTTTGAGAGCCGCGCGTCCCTTCTCATTCCTCTGCCCTCTCCCCCAGCCGCCAATCTCTGTCCTCCAGTTCCATTGCACCCTGATCCCCAGACAGACTGGCAGCATCCTGGCCGCCGGAGGGTCCATGGACAACCTCAGTGTCACGCACACGACAGCCCCAATGCAACCTAGCTAGCTCTCCGTGGGCAATTTAGATGCCTGTCCCCACGCTCTGCATATTTTTTCTCCCCCTCCTCCCCCAACCCCTGCTTTCGTGCCCCCTCGGATGTCAGTGCTCGTTCATTCTGCTTTCCTTGTCCGTTTCCAACGAGCCACCCCTTCAAATGGTGAATAATTAAAAGTTTATTTTTCTGGGCTTAGGTGACTGTTTGCCGGAGTCGGAGCAAAGTTGCTGAGCTAACATTGGCCACGGGAGTTTCACT